TCAATTCAAAGTATCATAATTTTGAAACAAAAAATTGAAATTATAAAAAGAATGGAGCGACAAAATGGTTTTATGGAGGGGTATATTGGTGTATATGGCGTAAATTAAGGTCCTGATTTGGAACATTCTACATTGTAAAGGACGTAGTTGCAATTTTCCATTGACTAGATACAAGCCGAGAATCTGGAGTACCATTACAAAGCGCACATCCGTAGGGCAAGTGAACGGCGAAAAAAGCGTTACCGGAAAGTCTCATCAGCTTCATCGCCGCTGTCTTCTGTAGGTATTCCTTCCCCCATCCCTCTATTTCATCTTGTTTCTATCTCTACAAACAAAGATTCAACTTCAATCAATCAGATCTATAACAACCGTAGATTCACATGAGTTTAGGCTTTCCTTTGCTTCTTCACGCTCATACGATTTGTTTTGTTGTATAACGAATATAAACTTGAATCGATTTATTTACTTCTATGTGCTATTTGACTTGATTGATTGCTACCAAAATCGTTATCGCCATATTTCATTGTTTATTGATAGACTTAGTAATGGATTAGGGCATTTTTCATCTTTTGCTTTAGCTCCAGTCCAAGCTATGTATTTAAATCATGGAAACAATGAAGTACGATTGGTGGGGAAAACATCTGATCTGTATAAACGCATAGCCCTTAACTTTAGGCGAGCAAACGTTAATTATAGCAATAAAAATTCTACTCATTTCATGGGTATGTCTTGTTTTTTCGATGTGCTGTGTAAGTTATTTTGGTACATTCTTTAAAGTCCTTTCATTTCTCTCTATTCTATATGAGTTCTGGAATGGAAAAAGGAAAGAGTTGCATTGAGAAGAATGGATAAGATTACAAACTGTTGTATACCTGTGTGGAAATTGTTCATATGTATAGTGAATTGATCATTTATCACTCGATTCTTTTTAAAATCAGTGAGTTAGAGTTGCTTGTGAAGATTTGTGTGCATTTATATAAGTAACATTTATGGGCAACAGTTTCTTTAAGGTAATGGGATGATTTACTGATATTCATGTTTGTTGGGTTTTGAGTACAGAATTAAACCATGGTTGCTGGTAGGGTTGCTCATCCAGTGTTGAAAGGCCCAAGTGTGGTTAAGGAGTTAATCATTGGATCAGTGCTTGGGTTAGCTTGTGGTGGTTTGTGGAAAATGCATCACTGGAATGAGCAAAGAAAAACAAGGGCATTTTATGACCTTCTGGAGAAGGGCGAGATAAGTGTGGTTGTAGAAGAATGAGGACATTTTAGTCATCATGATATGTTTATGACCAAGGCTTTAAATCAGAGGTGATACTCTGGATTTTATTTTTTAAAAATAAAGTTTTTGTATTGGATTTGTGCACAAAAGTTGCTCTTTTGTTAAAACTCTGAAAATGTTGTTTTTCTTGATTCTTGTTGTTGAAGATGCTATTGTAACCAAATTGCTCATGTCATGGATTTACAAAAGGCGTATTCATGTGTTTGGTATGCACTGGAACAATGTTGGACATGGAATACTTGCTTTCACATCTCTCATCTTTATCATAAAAATAGCTTAAAAGCTTGTCTGGTTGTGTTAAAGGCCTATCATTATCATTATGTGACATGTGAAATGTAACTCAGATACGTGAACTTCAACTCTTCAAGTGGTTAAAAGTAAACAGTCATCCTAGTCTATGCCTAGTTGTTAGGGCTGTCAAATCGGGCAGTCGTGTCGTGTTTTTGTCTGACACGACACGACACGATGTCGTGTTTTTTTTCATTAACACGAAAACGAACCAATTAAAACATGACAACACGACACGACAAATATAATATTACATAACTATTAGTGTATTTCATTCATACTTAAAGATATATAACACGACAAAAACGACAAACACGAAAAACCCGACAACCATATGCTTAATCGTGTCAATTTTGTGTCGATTTATGAACACGAACACGACATCGTATTTTTTAATTTTGACACGAACACGACACGAATATGAATTCAAATTTTGATTTCGTTCCAATTTCGTTTCGTTTCGTGTATTTTTGTCGTGTCGTGTCATAAATTGACACCCCTACTAGTTGTTAGTCAAGTGGGTTGCATGGGTCGGTTTTGGAGTAAACCCGTAGCAAACCGATATGTTTGCTTTTTGGCTTTTGAAACTCATTGGGTTTGGTTTTCGGTTTCTTGGGTCGGTTTTTTGTTTTCAGTTTCAATCCATGAGTTGATGGTTTCGATTCAGTAAATTATTATACAATAATTATTATTAATATATTATTATATAATAATTATTATTAATATATTCTTGGTGGGTTTTCTGTATTATAAATTTAGTTTATGATATTTGATGACTAAAATATTTAAACTCCTGGACACCACTATTTTTTTTTGGTTATTTTCATAATTTGTCAACACTGGTAAACTATAAATTTCTTTAAAATCAATATTTTTTTCAATTTATTGTCGCCGACTAGTCTCTTATATATATTGGAACCGAAATTCCCACAGTTTGGCAGAATTAGTAATGTACGCTTGGGAATAACTTCTTCTACGCTTAATTTGTTAACATTTGCATAATTACATTTGACTTGTTTTGTAATTGTAAAAATCCCAAAAGGAACGACTTTGAAAACCAGGTTTGACCACTTACCACCAAACCTAGTATGAAAATGTGTTTCTCATAAATGGAATAAACTTTAGTTTTTCTTATTGGGTATTTCTGTTCTAATCAACAACACAAAATCCAAATCCAACAAGGTCGTAAGATAAGAGAGACTAAACTTAGACTCTTACCCCCACTAGGGTGGATAAACTTCTTTCAAGTGAGACCTTTGAGAAGATGAAGAACGTGCCATACACATATGAAGAAAAGATAAATATGATATATATATACATACATACATACAAATTCATAATTAAAGACGCACATAAGTATATTGGTATCTAAATCTATATAAAGATGGTAAAAGTTCTCAAAAAGTTTAAACTCCATGTCCAACCTCAAACTCTTTTCTCACTTCCTCCTTGCTCCTTATTGTCTCCGTGGCTGCCTTATTTGAACATAACTAAACCATTATAATATTTGTTCCCTGCATTTATCTGTAAATGCCTAAATGGTATGTCCATCTCATCCTCATTTCCGCAAATTCCATTTTTCCTTCATGTTGTTTCTTTATCGGAACCCTAATCCAAGATGCATCGGCAATATGGCCAATGCTATATTTTTGGTTCTAAACTTGTGAAGAAAAGACATATGTGTAATGCTATTTATACTCGTTCTTGTGCTTATGCATGCTAAGCAACGCTTTAAAAAGGTTTCTAGTTTTCCTGGAGTAAACTTCCATATCTTTTCTTCTTTCTCTTTCAGGATACAACGATTGAGACCTCCACGCCTCCACCGGACTCTGCAATCATACGAATCAACTTCCTATAACTTCTGAACGATTCATTATATATATAAAAAAGAAAAGAAACAATAATCGGCTTCATTTTCGCTTACTTGCTGTGTGTTTGGACTGATGGATTGATGAACAACGGATCCGTAACGCATGATCGGAAAGCTCGGACTGGCGGATCGATTAGTAGTAGAACCTGTGCGCTTGATTCTGAATCGACTCGGTGACATGGATCGTGCTCGTTTTTCTGGTAATCAGATAAACCCTAATTAGTACATGAAGTTTGAAGACGGAAAAAACTCTGTTCTTTGTGTACCTAATCCCTTATTTAATGCAGCTTTTGCGAATGAAAATGCAATCGGACCTGATCGGAAATCAATAGAAGCTAGTTCCGTATCCCTCCTCCTGACAAACAATTTTATTCCATCAACATGAACTTGGTGGAGCTCCAATGGAGGTTAGTTATCAACATTAACAGCTTTTCTACAATTTTACTGAAATTTACCTCAAACTTGATAATTCTACTTTTGCTTTTTCTGCTTCAGCTGCTTCACAAAAGCGTCCATCTGTGTCAATAACTTTTCGTTAAAACCAATGTTCGCCATTAAAACTCAGAAGAATACATAAACTACACAAAAAGCATTCAAGTACAGTTACCTGGGAGCTTATACTGCTTATGGTATTTGGGTATTTGTATCATCAAGGATTGTTGCAAAAGACCTTGGTGGTCACTATAAGTTTGACATGTTCGTAATCTCTGCAACAATCTCCAAAAGGATTCACTATTCAGACACATGACATATGACATATGAACATACGAACAGAAAACGAAGAACAATTGTCGTGGTTACCTGTTCGATGCATAATATTTGAAGATTTGTTTCAAAAGCTTCATTGAGATTTTCATCCATGAAACTGTTGACTTTAGACGACACAGAGCCCAAATGGTCAATGGTGCTAACCAGAGCTTTTGACACATAATCTTTTAAGCTTTCTAACAATCTACAAGAAAGCAGCACATGACTTGTCAAACAACGAAATTAAACTAGAATTTAAAAAGTCAGTTTTAGGATTTCATATCTACTTACAATTCATCATGATCACTTTTGTGATACGAATCTTCAAAAAACTCTGCAGCTGAGTACAACTGCATTCTTATATTCCTCAAATCCTATAAAGTTCATTTCCTTACGTTATAAAAGAATCCCATTAAGTTGTTGAATATGTTAAAAAGAATTTAACCTTGAGACTATCAGCAAAGACCAAGCTGCGTTGCATGAAGATTTCATCATGATTTGAAGGTGGATGAAGATCATTTAACAGAGATGATCCATCCATAGTCTCCATAAACACCAAGAACACGAAACCCAGAATTCTTTTTGAATCGAAATCACAGAATATTTGGAGTTTTATTGAAATGTGGTGAAATGAGAGTTGGCAATCAAAGAATCGGGTGTTATGGAGGGTTAATAAAGTGTCGGCTATAAAAGCTGAAAGAGAAATATAAGTGGACAAATTAAAGATGGATAATAGAAACAAATGGTGGGACTTGATTACAGCAACTTTTGGTGGCTTATGGATGGCTGGTTTTGGAGGCAACTCACATTGATATTATCGCACACTAGTACTGGGTAATATCATATTATCATTCGTAATATCAACATGAAAAAAAGGGATTTTGATGGATAAAATAAATTAACTTTGAACTCAATATGGTGATGTTAGATCAACTAAACTACGAACATGGTGTATTAATGTAATATTTTCAGCATAAAAAATGAATAAAAAGGTATAATAAGCAAGAAAGTAAGGGCTTTGTAGTCTGAAATGTCAACATTTTAAGGCATGTGAAGGAGAAAAGAATGGAATTTAATATAAAAAAATGAAGTTGATGGGTGTATTACTAATGGAAATGCATGCATCATGGATATCTAATCTAAGAGGACCACGAAAAGGCAATAATATCTAGATATTAAATGCTATTTTCTTGTTGAGATTTTATTATCAAATTCGTTAACATTATTATCAATAATAAAAAACTTCTTTCATAGCATCTTCATTAAAGTCCTCGTTTTCGGACAAAATTTATAGGTTTTTGTCTTTCTAGGTAAGAATATTTTCCCATTTTTTTAGCGTGTTTATTATTTTCAGGTATCATGTAACATAATGATTAAAAGTCGACCATGTTTGTAGATCAAATGAGATAAAATGATGTAAATCCACATGTTTTAAATACACCCATCAGGTTTCATTTCTTTTTTGTTTTAAAACAAGTAGTTCACAAAAAGGTTAGTGGTAGGTAAAAGAGTGAAAACCCCGTGAATGCAATCAAGAATAAGCCAACAAGGTTTCAAATCACCAAATGCAAATGCTGTTCACGCAATCTCAGTGACATTAATAGTCTAGTACAACATGAGGTGGGTTTTAAAAAAGCAAATAACAATTTTTTTTTTTTTTTTTTTTTGAAATTAAGAAATGTTTTTGAGGTTTGATTTATTAATCAAACAATGCGCTCTAATTCCCTTGCGTAGCTGAGAGTCTGGTTAATGAGCTGGAGAGATGGAATCTCTTTGCATGGAGCCGAATCCTTAGCCTTCTGGAATACAACTAATCCATTCTTCACCTCCCACTCTGGATGCTCCTGAAAATTTCATTTCAATTCATACTCTGTCAATAATTCATATAATAATAACAAAGTATATGGTATAGAGGAATGGAATCAGTCAAAGGAATTAGAATCTTAAGTCATTGGAATATGAAATAGATATGTATGTATAATGAGGGTACTTTGGTCTTTTAACAAAAAAGAAAAAGAAAAAATGGAATTGAATTCCTTTCATCCGCCCTTGGGACTGGGCAAATTCATCAAACATGAAACTCGAAGGAATTGAATGCCATTGGCAACAAAACACACCATGGAATGGATTCTCGAATTCCAATTCCGCCGGAATCCACCCACAAACCAAACACATCTTAATAGTAAGAGTGATGCAAAACTTAGCTATGATTATAATAATTGTATAGCTAATAAACAGAAATTTTGAAAGAAAGAATGGAACCTCTTTGATGTAATCAAAAAGTTCTTGGTCTGAGGAAATCAATAGCATTTCTCGTGCATCTTTAACAGTGAGAGAGTCATACGCCTTCTCACTGCACCCAGCAATCTCATCCCTGCAAATGAATTTACAAAATCATGTCATAATTACTGTTAATAAACTCAATAAAAAAGAAGTGAAATGCTCCCAACAATTGTTACCTGACTGTTCTAGCCAAAAGATCCATGAAATAAACATAAGTTTCATGAGGTACAGTTTGTCTAGCAGTCAATACTCGATTGTAAGCCCCTTCCATGAATGATTGCTCAAGCTCCACTGCATGCTTGATACAAGTGTTTTCAAGAGCATTGGCTGAAAGCAACTCTAATTCAGTGTGAAACTCAGCAATTCTGTTCTGGACAAGTAGTCTCAAAAGATTCAGACCCAGGATTGGGTACTCTTGGGGAGATTGTGTAAGCCGACTACTGTTTTTCCAATAATAAAATAAAATTGAATTATGAACAACGATTTAGGAACAGAAAGATTCATAAGAAAAAAAAAAAAAAAGATTAGATCAAACTATAAATACCCAACATCTGTATAGTAAGGCTTCAGCTGAAAGAAATCTCTCTCAAATGCATCTTGATCTTCCATCTTTACACTAAGCACAACAGCATGCTCATAGATATCCCCTGAAATTGACCGATTAATCAAATTATATGCTTATACTATGAATAAAATGTACCTCGATCTCAATAGAGTGAAGGAAGGTGAAAAGAAATGCAAGTTGTTGAACACTTACTTGCTATGGTTAGCTCTTGAACTGCATTAGGAGTTTCTTCAAACAATGGAGGAAGGCTTTTGAATTCTATCAGCAAGATCTGCAATTTAAGAATCAAGAAGGAGTATAGATTGATTATATGTCGAGTATTACCCTAGTATGTATTTCTATCCAAAAGCACATCAGCCCTTCCAGGGTTCTATTTCATATTTTCATTAGAATAACAAAAAGAGAATACGATCCATAGTCATATATAATGACTCCCTGGAGTTCGATCAAAATTTATTAGTAAAAATAACTCCTTAACTGCAATGGCATCTTAAGTCTAAGAAAAGCATCTCAACCACCTCTTAGATCTCAATTGTGAGTTTATATCCATATCTGCTAACAACAGCCGGAAAATCTCAGTTTGTGCTAATGAATTTACTCAAGTTGTAATTTATATAAGGATTACATCAAACATGAATACGTAATAACAATCTAAGGAACACGAAAAAAACGGCAAGTATAATTAGGGTTTATGATTGCGGGTACCTTGAGCTGAGAGAGAAGCTTCGAACAAGTATCGAAATCATTACGAACTAACGCAGCTTTGAATCGTTCGAAGAGCTGTGAAACCTCGGTTAGCTTGGGATCCATACCTTCTTCTCCAAAACTCCTCTCTGTGTTCTTTTCGGTATCTGCTTCGTCTTTCTCGTTCCCTTCTTTCCAAGAAATGTATTTTACAGATAGAAAAGTAGACTGGGCCGGACTCGGATCCCATATACATCTGGATATCGTGTTCTACTAACGGGCCTTCGAGTGGACTACCCCAATTTCCAAATGTCTATTACGGAAAAACATAAAACTAAAAGTTTACAAATTCTTATAAGGACAAACTTAAATAATAATTATATGTTAATAAATATTATTTTTAATATTAATTTGTTTTAAATAATTATTTTTCTTTTTAATTTCAGATTAATTTTTTTTGGATTATTATATATTAATAAATATTACTTTATTGGATTATTAATTTTTTTAGTTAATTTTTTAATTTATTTTTATTGGATTATTTATTTATTTTTTTTTTTGATAACACCACCATTATCCTAACTAGTGTTATACCCGTCCGATGGACGGTTGACCGGTGTAATAAAAAAATATTTATTTTACTTTGTTCTATATCCTCATTATGTAAATTGTTACTGTACAATGACAAATCTATCTTGATTTTTTTTCTTATTACCACATTGTACTTTCAAGTGCGGTCAGTTAGAACCAAGAATATAATGGTAAGAGTTTAGTAGATATGGATAGTGGAATGCTAATGTCATTTCATTAAACTCTGATAGAATTCATTGCATTGTGGATTCTCGAGTTTAATAATTTCAAAACCCTATTATGCCATTTTGATGCTCCTTGCTAGTTGATTTTATAATATTGTAGCCGCTAAAAACACCATGCATTCCAGCTCATTCAACTATTGTATTAAACTACATATTGTGGATGCTTTTATTGCTTCAATATGTAGCATATTTCAAACTCCAATGCTCTAATAAAAAATAATTTTAAAGTATAATATCGTAATAAGAAAAAACAAAAATACAATGCTATAATAAAAATAAAAATTAAAAAACACATTGCTATTTCTTATATTCAACTTTGTTACCATGCCTTGTACAATGACAACTCTACCCAAATCCACATGATCCAACACTTTTTTTAGGTTCCCATCTTCTTTCTTTATACATGAGCTTATAAGATTGACATATGAACAGGTTCACCGATAAGTGAATACTCATTAATTGTTTGTATAATGTAATTGCCTATACAATTGATGATGCATTACATGGTCACCAACCATATTTTTAGGATCCTATCTTCTTTTTTTATCCGCCACCAACGACCACCACCTCCGCCACCAACCACTGTCATCGTCACCAACACCTCTTCACTCCACGAACACAACCACCTCCAATGTCACCAACACCACAACCACCTCCGCCACTCTTACCACCGCCATCTCCGCCACCGCTGCCACAACAACCACCACCATTGCCACTGCCACTACCTCTGCCACCAACCCCATGTTCATACTTATTTATATATAAATATAATATATAATTTGGTCCAAGATTACCAATACATTACCTAAAAAGTTAAAAGAATATTTGTTACATGAAAATATTAAATCATATTTTGTTTAAAAATATTATAAAAAGGTGTCGAGTATCCTAACCATCACTAGATGCATACATTTTCTCTTTGGTCACACCATCAAGTCGTGCAAATCTATGATTTAGATATTTATTTCAAAAAAATATTGCAAATTGAGGCGTTCCATTCATGAGTTATAGAAGTGAAATGGTCACCACCACCTTCTTTTCGAGTTATTTATTATAATGTGTTATGCTCTGTTTGGTCATATTTTTTGTGCTTTCGACTTCCCTTTTTGCGCCTGAGGGTCCCACACAAATACCTAGTTCCACCTTCATATGTGAATCATCAAGGGTCATATTTATTACATCATTTCAAAACAACCCTTTTATTGGATTGAAAGACCTAACTGACATTATTTGATAATAATTAAGTAACCTTATTACTGCATTAGTTAAATAATCCATTTGATCTCACAAACTTTATAAAATGGTGCTGCTAATAAGACACCCTTAGACACCCAATTTAAAAGTCAAATAGCTTTTTGCATTGGGATTTCCGTTTGTCTGCCTTAATATTCAATAAAGATTTCAGCAAAACATATTTTAAAATTTTACAACTTAGCTCTTTGTAAAAAGCAAAATAACAATTTTAACTTTTAAATTAAACTCATTACACTTCAAACATTTTTCAAACTGGCCACATACGATTCAATTTTTTTTTCTTTTAGTGTAAATTGTTTTTTTTACAATCATAAATTTCAATTAAATAACCACTGACCATTTTTTGAAGACTGTGTTTTTAATGAGAATTAAATTTGATTATATTGAAACTTGGTCATAATCAACTACTAACCAATTGTTCAAAAAAATTCGTAGTTTATAAGCCAATAACACAAATTAACAGTGAACAAACCAAAATCAAGGTAAATAATCTATTTTGAATCTTAAATCAACTTTTGAAGTATTTATCGTAATGCCGTCACCTTCACCTTCACCGGTGGTCCGACGGTGGTATACCGACGAGTATACAGATGTGTATTGAGAATAGAGTGAGAGAGTGGAGAGTGGAGAGTTTTGTCAAAAATCGGATGCTGCAATTGTCTTTCCGACGATGTCAAGGCCATATGCGATGTCAGTAACCATGGTCGAATACCAGAATTCGGTATGAAGGAAGAATCGGAGAAGACATCGGAGGTAAAGTGACGGCGGCAATGGTCGACAGGAAAGAGACGACGACATTGGTGGTGTGTCGTTTCTGATGGTGGTGGTGTGTCGTTCCGAAGATCAATCCGATGAGAGAGGGTGGAGAGCAGTGACTTCCAGTGAGAGTGTAGAGTGTGGATTGCCAGAGACGCGATTGATTTTGGAGTGAAGGCTAACAAATTTTAGGGTTTCTTTTTGTATTTATTTGGACGGGTTTAAAATTTGGCTAAAATAAAAAATGGGCTGAAGCTAAAACTTGGGCCACCACGTTTATTAGTTTTTACACTAAATTTTTGTTTATAAAACATATTAATTTTTGGATGAGTAGTTAATATATAATTTTATTTTTTATAATTACTTATTATTTTGCAGTGTTTAGTAAAAAATGTGGAGACCCGATGGAAATAATTTAAATGACGGCGTTGAGAACACGACGGCGACATCATCGTTTTCTACCGAGCAGGTATAATTCAAATGTTGATTAACATTTTTTTATCATTGTGTTACAATTTGTTAACAAAGTTTTTTTTTTTAAAATAGGTGTTTGAGTCTCGTGATGAGTTGATGGAATGGGTGCAAAAAATTGCATTCTCTCTTGGTTATGTCATCGTGATGAGAAGATCAAAGGCAAAAAATGGCGTGGTGTCTTATATTACACTTATTTGTGACCGTGGTCGTGAATACGAAAGCAAAGCAACAATTAAAAATTCTGGAACCAAAAAAATCAATTGTAACTTTCAATTGGTAGGTTCGTATATCAAAAAATATGACGGTTGGACCCTCAGAGTGATATGTGATCAACATAATCATCCACATGCACAATATATGGAGGGACATGCTTTTGCTAGGCGGTTGAAAGAACACGAGAAACAATTGGTGGCTGACTTGACAAATCAGAATGTTGCACCACATGACATACTCTCGATATTAAAGGAGCGTGACGAGAATAATGTTTCTACACTAAAAACCATATACAATGAGCGTCTCAAGCTTCGCTCGTCCCGAAATTACAAAAAACTCCAATGCAAGTATATCCAACAAGTAGTATTTTAAATTTAATTTGTATATTAATTTTTTTTATTAATTAACAGTATTTAAATGTAGGTTCTAATGGAAATTTTGAACGAGAAACATTTTGTTACGGAGTTCTCCGTAAACAGTATTTCAAATGAATTGGAAAATCTTTTCTTCATTCATCAACGGTCGTTGAATATATGGAAGGTGTTTCCACACTGTACTTGTTGACTCTCCAACATGGATAGTGTACAATGAAAACTACAAAACACTCCGATCGATGTTGAGAAAATATCAAGGTACAAATCTTCGTATTTTCTAACTAATTATTTATGATTTTAGACTATTTTTATAGATAAATAACATTTATATAATTGCAGATGTTTTAAATTATCTGGATGAAGTTTGGTTAAACAAATATAAGGAAATGTTTGTCTCAGTCTGGATCGATCAACATCTCAACTTTGGACAACGAACTACGAATAGAGTTGAGAGCGCACATTCAAATATAAAGAAGTTCTTGGATGGCACAAATTCTTTTCTTGATAAATTTATCGGTTGTCTTGATCAATTTGTGAGGTCTCAACTTCCATCGATACATGATAGTCTTGAAAAGAGTAGAATTGTTCGTAAACGGGAACACAACTTGCCATGTTTTACATTATTGTGGGGTTCAGTGTCACATGAAGCTCTCGATAAACTTTGGGGAACTTTATCGGTTGAATGAAAATCAAATTGACTCATCAAACTGTGGTTGTAAACTACAACATAGTTGTGGCTTACCATGTGCTTGCATGTTATCAGTTTACTTGAACTCGGGTGAGTATATTCAAGAAGTATATTTTTTTAAATTAATTAATATATTGAATTTTTATATATTAATGGTATTTCAATACAGGTCGGTATATTCCATTAGATTCGATAGATATATTTTGGAGAAAGCTTGATTTATCAGAGTTAATTTTTGTAGCAAATGAGGATATTCGTTGTGAGGATGATTTAGAAATGATTAAAGAAAACTTCTATCAGCAGTCAAAAGCAGGAAAAAAAGTATGATAAGAAAGCTAATAGATATGTTCCTACCAAGTAAAACACGCATTAAGGAAAGCTAATAAAATGAGTTGATTCTACAAATCAAGCACCCAGAAGACGTAGCTATTCAACCACATCAAAATATGATGGATTGAATTCAACATGGATGGACAAGGAACCAACAAGACATAGTTCATATGCAACCGCAATTCCAGACATGAATGAAACAATTCCAGAATTTGATGAAGCAATTCCAGACTCGAATGAAGCAATTCCAGACTTAAATGAATTTCTGGATTTGAACCAAGAGCC